CTGGATGAGCTGAATCTAGTAGCTGCTGCCTTTTCTCCATTACTTCAACTTGTAATTTCTCTGCCTCAGTTCATTTGCCCTGATTATGGTATGTTGAAGCCAAATTTGCCATGTTTCTTAATGTATCTGGATGAGCTGGACTTAGCAGCTGCTGTCTTTTCTCCATTACTTCAACTTGTCACATCCTGGAACTTCGCGTCCACCTTCTGACCCTCCAACTTTCCTCCCGACTTTCATTCCATCTTCCTTCCCGTTCGTGATCTTCCCTCTTCCTTATTTGTACATACGTTTCATCACCATAGTCCCCTTACAATTGATTTTAGTTACATAGCCTTTACACAGCATTCCTTCCGACTTACCGTTCACTCATTCCGCTACTACCATTTACTTAGTTTCTACAATACTATCATCACAGCCTCTTCCATCAGACTACCATTCCGTCTCCACTTCATCCCTAGTTATCTTCTGTAGTATAAATACCTTCCGCTTGTATCCTCCGCTCCTCAGTTCAAATATTAAAGTTAAACACTCTACTCTGTTATCTACTTCGCCCTCGTTATTAAGACTTAGTCTGATAACAACTCTGACCCTCCGACTTGTCTTCGACATCTCGTTCCGACGTCTCGCAAATACTAGGACACCAAATAGATTGCAAAGGGCGCAGCACATAAGCTGAAGCCAATGTCTGTACAATCCACCTTCCGCCTCATCTGATACTCCCTCTGCTACCTTCCGACAATTTTGCTATTTGACACAACTTCCAATTTCTCTGCCTCAGTCAATTTGCCTTGCCTCCTGTATGTTCCAGCCACATTTTCCATGCTTTTTAATGTATGTAGATGAGCTGAACCTAGCTGCTGCTGCCTTTTCTCCATTACTTTAACTTGCAGTTTTTCTGCCTCACTCCAATTTCCATTGTGATAAAAAACATAAGCAAATGAAGCATATATATCATCATAATATATATTTGTCTTGTGTATGTTGGCAAAATACAATTGATTCATCTTGATATGTGTGGCAAGTGCATGATAAAATATATAGTCTGATATACCATTAGACTGGGTCACAGAGTATCCAAGCAAGAACATTGCCAAGGAAGAGCTCTTTTCTTTCTCATATTTTGTCATTCTGTCTTGACACCATGCATGAACCATTGGGTGCATATGGTATACAGCATTTGATGATCCTTTTGTGATCAAGGAGAATGACACCAAAATTTGAATCCCAGACCAGAATATCAATTTATCCCATTTGCCATCAGTTATATGCAGCTGTTTTTCATCTAAAAGCAAAACAGTTAATGGAAGTCCCTCACTGGCCATCTCTTTCAGATCTGTTGCAATATATTTCTTAGTAGCTCTAAAGAAAATGTCTTCCATAATATTTTCATGATGGAAAAATGCCATAATTTGATGGATTAAGATAGCTGTTTGGGCAGCTTGATCATTCTCTGGCTTTGATTGATTTGCTGCCTTTAATTCAATCTTCTCATATGAAAGCTCCCAAGTTCCATAAACAGTTTGTTCATACTTAGAAGCACCTCTGAAAGAAGGATGATCCATAAGTTCTTTTCTTTTTTCTGAATAAAGCTCAAGATACTCATTTATGCTACAGAGGCCAGATGTGATAAAAGCCCCTGCCTGATCAACAGCAAGAGGAAGACAAAACAGTGTTGTGACTATTTCTTTAGCAGTCTCTTGAATGAGTTCTGATATTTCTTCTTCTAAGTTAGATCTTTTTAAAAGCAAAGCAATGGCATCTTCAACATCCATTCCATCCAGTTCAATGGAATTCTTGTTACTAGTAAGAGATCTCATGTTAGGGTTCCTGCTGGTAATAAGAATGTCTCCTGTATTATCTGAAGGTAGATATTTTTCGACCATATTGGGTTCTCCATCTACATGATCAAAAATCAAGAGCCATTCCTCTGACAGAGAAGCTATCCAGTAGAGAACTGCTTCAGGGGTTCCATCTACATTAGCTTTTTTGACTTCTGGAATGGAAGAAATGCCTTTTAAGCTAGCAGAAATGGTATCTTCACTAGTGGCATCAATCCAAAACACATATCCATATCTGAGAATAGCAAGATGTTATTGAGTAAATTGTATTTTAGCTAAATGAATCATGGCATACTGGCTGGAAACATCTTCTATAAATTTCAAAGCAATCTGAGTTTTTCCCATCCCACCCAGACCATAAATAAGATAGGAGCGCCGAGGTGTAATACCTTTTCCATTCCGAATACTAAAATAATCCTTCAACTGGTCAAGGTAGTCTTGCTGTCCTGTGAAGAGAGGACTGGAACAAGGCCTTAAAATCATCTCCGGTAGTTCATGCTGTGGGAGCGGTGGATAAATGTTCTGACAGTAGGTATATGAGGTTGTTTATTGAAACCCAGAGAGATATGCAACTACATACCAGATTACCAGCAACAGCAGTAAGAGTACTATTGTTAACTGATACATGAGAAGCATCCTGAAAAATATTTGCCATTGTGTTTATTCTGTTGAGAAAGAGCTAGTTGCGTTTGATGACTAGACGAGAGTAGGGAGCAAGGGCAGGGCAAAGGGCATCCACAAACACGTCAAGAAAGGGGCTGTGTATGGAAGCTGTTGAGATTGGTTGTAAGTCGGACCGGTAGTCATTCCCAGTAAACCCTGACTTAATGCCGAAGTCCATCTAAAATAGATTGAGGGAGGATACAACATATCTACACGAGTGTCCTATTATCTTTCGTTCGTCGTTGTATCATAGACGCAGACAGACTATCTGCGCATACATCTATTTATTCATTTATGTCTAGATCAAGCACTTGGGAAATGGATTAAAAACTCTATTCCGTTCTGATATATTTTTGGTTGTAATTATCTGTCTATCTCTCACACGTCTCCCCGTCACCGGCTTACAGTGCTCCCAATATCCCCTCTAGCCTCCATATAATAGTCTCATTCTCCTCCACGCTGACCATGAAGCGGAAGCACCCCAAGTTCCTGCGAAACCGGACGACGACACCGTTCTGTTCTGCGAGCGATTTTGACACTTTTTGGGTGTATGTGTTGTCTACCTCTCTCATTCCATTTACCCTTTTGGTCGGTCTATCGAGAAGGTACATGCTCCTACGCGAGGACTGGGGCAGTGGTTAGCATTATAGGAACGGAAATGTAGCAACACGAACCTCATTGACGCGAGACCATCACTACGCACATATCGCCCACTGCGCGGAGATGCCACACATTCCATTCTGTACGTTGGAGAAGTGATGAGGATCTGCCTGCATTTGGAGGCCAGACAGACGCACGTGAGGGGCTTCGGCAAACCCAACACCGAGGAAAGACATGGGCGGGACCGGGTAGCCCACGGAGAGAGTCAAGGTGGGACTCCGTATGGTTGTAGGAGAGATAGCGGTCGAGGTCGATGACTTGTATTAAGTCGGGTGAGTTCTTCGGATGGATGAGAGATCACCTAGATTGACGCCTATGAATGCCATAAACTTGTCCGAGGATAGTTTGCTGACATTTTGAGGCTATAGATGCACTCGATGCTAGTTGTAATAATGAGTATTCGCAGTTAATGATAAACCACTCTACCCTACCTTAGATTACTCTTTATTAACCCGTTCCACAATCCGCGTCAACTCCTTGAAATTCCCAATCCACCTCCCCACCGCCTCTCTTATTCCTCACTCCCCCAAGCTTTACACGCAGGTTGCCCTCCTGCCCAGGGCGAGGGACATATACCGTCTGCATCCCCAACGCGCCCGCCGCGTGTAAATCGTACATGTGGGTCACGACGATTGCAGTGCGTTCTGGTGGGACTGGGGGGTGGTGTAATACTGATAGGTTGGCCTTAGGGTTGGTTTTGTAGGCTTGGAAGAGCTTGGCAAAGAAGACAGCATCCCAGGGGAGGTCGGCGTGTTTCGCCTGGACTGGGGCGTTGGTGGAGAATGAAGCGAGAAAAAGCGGGGAGGAACAATCTGTGTTGATTAGTAGCGGGACAGTTTCCGTTTGGAGAGCGAGGCGATTAGAGTGTACTTTTTGAGTGCGTAGAACCCGGGTGTGGCATCAGGCCAGCCTGTAAGATACATTCACATCATGGATTGAGAAACGAGAGGAGACAGAAGCGTACCATCTAGCCTGTGACCGCATTCAGATCATTCCTAGTCTCTTCGCTCCATATGGACTCGATGTTCGACTGGTCTTCACCGTTTAGAATCGAGTCCAGTGTCTATAGGGGTGAAAGTTAGATATGAGAAAATGATGAATCTACACTCACTCATACTTACCTCGCGATGCATGACATCAACCTTGAACGAGCCTGCGCCTCCTGCTGCGATTCTCCATCTACAGGGCGTATCATAGATTCAGATACGAGGTTAGGAACAAAGAGACTGAGACAAGTTCGCAAGTGGAGAGTTGGATATCTCCAGCATATGTACGGTGTATATTCTGTGGTTGCCGCTTTCTTCTGTAATGAGCTTAGGTCCGTACACAGCTGCGATGGATGTGGTTACTTACGCGCACCATGCCTCTCCCCAAGCTCCTTCAGCTCCCTCGTCACCGTGCTCCGCCAGTTCATGACAGTCCCAAAGACGTCGAAGATCAGAGCTTCAAGCTTGAGTGTGGTTGAATGTTAGACGTTGGGTGCTTGCTGGCATTGTCTTCTAGGCTAGTACAAGATGCTCAAAGGTGGGTCGTTCGAAGCCCTCGCTCGTTCCCTGTGATCGTAGAAAGCAAAGCGGGGATAACAGAGCAATAGGTAGAAAAGATCTGGACCCGTCGGCTGGGGGAAAGGCTACTGATAACACACCGGGTCATTGCGTGTTTTCGTGCATCACGCGAGCAGTGGCAGCGTCATGGATGTGTGTTGCGCGCAAGGACGACTAAATCCTCGATGGAGAAGATATTCGTACTGGGATATGAGTCATGACAGCATCAACGTGGAGGGATTTGAAAAACTGGAACCATTCGTTTGTAACCCTATTTTGGGCATCACTCTTCAACGGTTCAGTGGTCTAGTGGTTATGATTTCTGTCTCACAAAAGCTTCACCGGCACACAGAAGGTCCCCGGTTCGACCCCGGGCTGAACCACTCTTTTTCTTTTTGAGATTGTTCATGACCCTTAACATAGATCACCATGAATTCCCTACATAGAAACTGTTAGAGAAAAACCGCACTCAATCCTAGTATGGCGCTTTCAATTTTAAAATTCTACTACATAAATAAATGCATTGACTGGGGTAAATTAAGACGCGTGGATCGGCTAGTAAAAGAATGAGCCTAGTGAGAACCGATACCCTCTGTGATAAATATGATCAAATATTTCGGACCCGCGTCGTGACTCCTAGCCTTGCCTTACGCTGGAGGCGTTTGTTGAAACCCCACCGCGCCCTAAGGTGGCTCACGGGTTCTATTTAGCAAAAGCAAACTTTTATCATGGTCTGGCATCGCTCAACAGACACAGCCTCTAGCTCTCGGTGAGTTCTAGTCTTGTGTTCGTTACTTAATGTCTTTGCTACCCCAGGGTACATGCGGACCAGTGGTCAGCCGCTGACATTGTCCTAGGTTTGCACCTCCCAACGTCCTCCCGCGAGGGACAGCGGGATGGGGCTTCTTCTCCTCTCGTGAGGACTGCTGTACGTGCATCTCAGTTCCAACAGTACTCCATTCTAACTACTTTCATTACTGACAGTGCAACAAGCGTTGTTCAACTCCTCAGACCCCGAAATAATCAAAGATCTCGCTCTATATCGAAGACAGCTCACGTTGCTCATCACAGCACAAAAAGCAATTGAGGCGGAACAAGCAGAATTACAGTTACAGAGGGATGTGGTGACGCGTAACCTTGCCGCCACTCACGCGTCGTTAGTGCAGACACAAACTCGGATAACTCATAGCAAGAATAACCATCTGCCTGTATATAAATTGCCTATGGAGATCCTAGGCGAAATTTTCATTCTATGCCAGCAAAGCGGGAATGCCTGTCCCCGTACTCCCTGGACAGGCTTTGTGGCCGCCGTTCCTTTTGAGATTCTTATATCTCAGGTTTCTTGGTGGTGGAGAGAGGTCGTGCTTGGTACACCAGCACTATGGTGTCGTATTGCGATGATCTTAGGGGATATGTCAGGGAAGTTAAACGCATACCTTGAGCGATCCAGCGGGAGTACACTCGACATAACTATTCATTCACCGTATGACATCTCTGAAGAGGAACTCCATTTCTTGTGGTCTTCTATAGCTAATCATCTTCATCGCATTCGGTCCATGGTCTTAAATTTCAAAGGCCGGCGGCCGATGATGGCGATCCTATCCCAGCTTATAGACGTTCGCGTTGACCAATTGATGCGTTTCACAGTCAACTGTGTTTGCGATCCTGCAGCCAACGACATCATCATAATTCGACCGTTCTCTCTGTTCCGCCAAGGTGCACCCGCACTAAAATACCTCGATTACGATCATAATATTCTACCAATCTCCCTTCCCTGGTACTCTTCCATCTCCAAAGTACGAGCACGCATAGCGTGCACATCACTTCTCAACGTTACGGAAATTATACCATCTTTTACGAACTTAGCATCACTCGCTCTCGACAACTGGCGAGCTCCTCAGGATACAGTTATGGAAACCATCCACCTTCCGCAACTTCGTTCTCTAATTCTCTCGGGACTTCTGCAAGAGCCAGAGTACATGGCAATTTTCACTCAGATCCTCACTCCCAGCCTCGAATCCCTCGCTATAAAGTGCACGTCAGGTCCTTCTGTTGCGAACATGTTCATAGCCGTCAGCTGCCAAGCATGTCAGGAATATAAACATCTACGCCTCCTATCATTTACCAATAACTCGCACTTCTACCCGTCTGTTGTAGAGCCGGCGCTATCAAGCCCGCAGACTGCTGGTGCATGCAACCCACTCGAACATGTACAACATGTAGCATTCATTGGTCTTTCCAGCACCGACAAACTCCTCCTACATTTATTCTGTGACAGGATGTATCCGACTCCCCGCCTACCCCGTCTACGCAGCTTGACAGTTGGGAGCAGCCAACTCAGCCCGAATATTGTTAAGCATGTGTTGCTTACGCGGAAAGCTTCCTACTATGGCATTCCCCATATACATTTACAACAGCCATTTGCCAATACTATAAAGCAGATTCCAGGTGAAGTGGCATGGTTCATGTGGAACGTTAACGTCCACATATTTGATGCGGACGAAGTTATCGAGGCAATATATTCGGAACGCGGTCTTACGACCGAACTTCTACCAGGTAAGTTACTGAATGACCGTTTCTGAAATTAAAGTCTTAACTTCGACCATCTTCATTCTGTATAGGTTCTTCTTCCTGAATTATAACGTAGTTCCTTGTCAAAGACAAGCCTGCATAACATCAATTGACGGCTTCTCCTTCGCCAACCATATATATCGCTTTCTTGAATTGTAAATTATATTTGTATTTGTCCAGTTTTTGTTTTACATTTTTCTCTCATCGACTTTTGAATTTTCTTTCCCTACATGTTAATGTATTGTTGTTACCGACAACTCGTAGAAAGATCCTCCAGCATAAATGGTAGCGGCATATATTTTTATCACGAATGCTATAGAATCGTTTTCCGTGGTCCTCTGTTTGATTCTCAGCAGAGTCATGATCAAAGCCATACAGAAGTTCCAGCAATCCTCAACGAGCCCGCCAAGTGCATCGTAGCTCCACAATACAGAACAAGTAATGAGAACTTGCAGGATATCGGTGGGACTGTATTGACGACCTGAACATTGCGAGCGTCTGCACTGAGAGAAATTCTTGTTTACACATTTCTTTTGGGTTCTAAGATGTCACCGTTCTGGACAGTCTGCGAGGTGCCCTCCATGAACCAAACGTCTCCCACCTCAAAACCATTCGCCTTTTTGGTGTTATCATATTTAAGTACCATATTTATATCTTATGTTATTATCGAAATTTATCGCGTATAAAATCCCTCCGTAAGATAAAACTTCCCCAGCGATAGCACGCAGATATCACACCGGCGTTGAACCAAGGGCGTGAAAAATGGAGCTTTGCATCACCAACATACAAATGTAACTCGAGTTCTCCTGGAAACGTCTCCAAGATGTAATACTAAATTAATGGCCATATATTAAATGAGAAGGTCAATTAACTAATCCCTTCCAAGAACGACTTGCTCAATTTCCAGAGCTCCTCTGCTTTCTCGTATCCACCAAATCTTGCATTAAGCTCTCCAATCTTTCCAATTGGCTTACTTTCCAAATATACACCCATATACTTCTCTTTTTCCTCCGCAACTTTCTTCCCAGCAGTAGCAAATACACTATTGAAAGATCCCACCACTGGATCCGGGAGCATCAGCCTCAGAATCCACCTTGCGATGGTTGGAAAGGGGAAAGTGTGTGAAAAAGTGTCAACGCCTCCTGGGTCAAGGGATATACACGTAATGTTAGACCCCCCAAGGCGTGATTGCAGCGCGAGTGTCCAGAGAATAACGAGAAGCTTTGTGTAGGCTGATTCGACAGCAATATCCCTTTATTACTGAACATAAGTAGGAATAGAGTAGTTGAACGCACCATAACGACCTTGCCAACGCCATTTATACTCCGAATTTAAATTGTCCAGGCTATTAAAGTGGATAGGAGTGGGTGTGAAGTCGTGCATCATGGAGGATATCTAATGAAAAATCCAGAGCCAATGTCTCAGCAGGTATAAACTTTGTAAATAGTACAGCCGCTCTTACATTAACCACTCGAACGTCTGATTGTGGTTCCAGCGCCGTAGCTTTGAGAAGCGGCAGCAATGTATATGTAAAAACAAAGGGCGACATGTAGCTGTAGAAGCCTTGTCAGCATTTCTAGGCCATAATAAATGGAGTCTTACTTTATAATGACAATGGTGCTTATCCCTAACCGAAAGGAGCGTTTATTTAGTCTTCCTACGTGAGTGAAATAGCCAAAGGGATAATTTACCATCCTGGCTAATCTCAAATGGTGCTTTTAATCTAATCAAGATGAAAAATAAATCTCGAATGGGTGAACTGTAAAGAAGAACTCACATCGCAGCATTGTTGATGAGGATATCTAGTTGCTTTTCCCTTTTCAGAAATGCCTCTGCACTCCGTTTCGCGTCTCTGGGATCGGTTAAATCTAGTTCGTGCCAGAGAATTTCACCGTAATCATCGCCTCTAATTAGGCCTTCGTCTTCGAACTCCTTTTCGAGGGCAGCAATGGCTGCATGGGCTCTTGATTCAGATCTTGCCGCAAGGTAAACCTTAGCGTGGGCGCGCGCGAGATGACGCACGGTGGCTAGGCCGATGCCTGAGCTAGACAGAATAGAATATCTCTGCTGAGTTACACGTTAATGTTGGCGATAAATCTCTAAAACGCACTTTCCACCAGTGACTACCACAACTTTACCATTGAGGTCGACGAGATCTGTGGTAGGATTGAAGTCGAGGGAAGCACTCGTAGTGTTACCCATTGATTCTGGTAACGCTGCCGGCTGTACACTTCAGCGAGCTATATGTTTAAAATTTGACTGACGCGTAAGCTCATCTGCCGGAAATGCCGCTCATTCACAGGTAGGCGACGTTGAGAAGCGAACAGAAAGATTCGGGTAGCAAGCTCTATAAAGCTCCAAAAGTGAGCATCAGTCAAAATAGTGGTCAGTACTTTGGAAAGCGAAAATCATCCTCAGGAAAGCATCGGAATTTGAGGAATAGCAAGATCTCACTGGTGCAACGCTACTGCAGGTTTCAGAACAACTGCGATATACATCAGCGGGCTTCTGGGGGTCAATCCCTATGCCATCACCCCTCATGATTGGGAGATGCCTTTTTTTTTCTAGTCTGACATGGGCCGCAAATCCAAATATACTCAAGCCAAATTTCCACGCTCATACGTAGGACGAATTGGATTGAAAATTATACCGTTCGATATCTGGGATGGTCTCAGGGCGGCGGTAGCGTAAGCCAAATTTCTACGGATTTGATTACGGATCTGCGGCTATTGATGGGCGCACAGGTAATCTCGGCAACTTCCTTGGCCCTATCGACAGATCGGATGGTCCTCAATTTCATTAATAGGAAAGC